AGATCACTTGAGGTCAGGAGTTCGAGACCAGCCTGGGAAACACATTGAAACCCCATCTCTACTAAAAATATAAAAATCAGCCTGGTGTGGTGGCGGGCGCCTGTAACCCCAGCTACTCAGGAGGCTGACACAGGAGAATTGCCTGAATCCAGGAGGCAGAGGTTGCAGTGAGCTGAGATTGTGCCACTGCACTCCAGCCTGGATGACACAGCAAGACTCTGTCTCAAAAAAGAAAAGAAAAAAAAAAAGAAGTAGCCAGGTGTGGTGGCTCACGCCTGTAATTCCAGCACTTTGGTGGGATGAGGCAGGAGGATCGCTTCAGCCCAGGAGTTCGATATCAGTCTGGGCAACACAGGAAGACTTAAAAAAAAAAAAAAAAAATACACCTGAGTATTTTCTACAAAAAATTTAAAAATTAGCAAGTCATGCGGTGGTCCCAGCTGCTGGGGTGCACATGGGGGAGGACTGCTTAAGTCCAGCAGGTCAAGGCTGCAGTGAACCATGATCGCACCACTCCAGCCTGGACGACAGAGCGAGACCCCATCTCAAAAAAAAAAAAGAGACGGAAAGCAGATATTTTTAAGTGCTTTTTTTTAAAGACGGAGTCTCACTCTGTCGCCCAGGCTGGAGTGCAGTGGCACGAGCTCAGCTCGCTGCAACCTCCACCTCCCAGTTTCAAGAGATTCTCCTGCCTCAGCCTCCCGAGTAGCTGGGATTACAGGCACCCACCACGATGCCCAGCTAATTTTTGTATTTTTTACTAGAAATGGGGTTTTAGCATATTGGCCAGGCTGGTCTCGAACTCCTGACCTCATGACACGCCTGCCTCGGCCTCCCAAAGTGCTGGGATTACAAGCATGAGCCACCGCACCTGGCCTAAACGCTCTTTGAAACACAGACACACACACAACTGGCCATAGAATCACCAGCTTGCAAATCCCCTGACTTGACACGTTTTTTGCCCTGTGACATCTCACCTACTCTCAGTTTCAATTACCATCTACAACTCAGACCTCTCAGATCCTGGACATCAGTCCAGACCTTTCCCAAGTCTCAGTCCCCACATGCCCCCGGGTTCCCCAGGGCCATTCATGCGCACAGAGTCCCACACTACACTCAGCGACCATTTCCCAGGCCTGCTAACGCTCCCGAGTTCTCCATCTCAGGAACAGCCCCGCCGTGTCCCAGTCAGCAGACAACACGTCCGTCTGGGAGCCATCCATCGATGGGTGCACCCTCTCTCCCTTGCATCAGTCCCCAAGCTCTACCTTCCTGTCCCCTGCGTCTTTGCCCCGTCCCCTCCTCTCTGTGTCCCAAAAGCTCTGAGCTGGCTCAGGCCACTTCACCTCCTGCTCGGACCCTCTATCCAGCCTCCTGTTCATCCTCTTCCAGCCCCGGAAGGCTTCTCCACACGCAGAGCCAACCCCGCCCCTGCGGTGACACCCCAGCTCCCCTGGACAAGGTCCCAGCCCCTCAGGATGACCTCTGACACCCGGCAAACTCTGGCTGGAGAAGCCCTATCTCTACTAAAAAATAGAAAATCAGCCAGACGTGGTGGCACATGCCTGTAATCCCAGCTACTAGGGAGGCTGAGGCTGAAGAGTCGCTTGAACCTGGGAGGCAGAGGTTGCAGTGAGCTGAGATCATGCCATTGCACTCCAACCTAGGCAACAAGAGCAAAACTCCGTCTCAGTAAATAAATACATAATCTGGGCATGGTGGTGGGCACCTGTAATCCCAGCAACTTGGGAGGCTCGGGCACAAGAATTGCTTGAACCCAGGAGGTGGATGTTGCAGTGAGCCGAGATCCCAACACTGCACTCCGGCCTGGGCAACAGAGCCAGACTCTGTCTTAAAAAAAAAATGCAAAAAACTAGAAAGGCTGAATCCGGTTCAGAGGCCATCACTGAAGGCAGGAGCTCCTGGAGGACGCACACACCCTATCTAGGTCAAGTGGCTTCCCTGGCCACCCAGTACAAGGCCAGGTCAAGAGGCAGTAATAATTGCCACCTCCCAGTGGGAACTGCAGATATCTTCCCATGTTCCGCGCTGGGCACTGTTCCAGGAATATCACAAGCATTAACTTGTTTAATTCTCATAAGAACCCCAGGAGGTCAAGCCTCTTTTTAAGCTCAGATGAGAAAAGGGACCCAGAGAGGCGAAATGATTTGCCCAAAGCCACATAGCACGTGTCCTAAGGGAAATCTGAACACTGGCAGGGCCGTTGAATCAGACTAAAGGGACCTCCTCCCTTGGGAGCGCTGAGTGAGGGCTTCTTGCATGGATGGATGAATGAATGAATGAATAAACTAATGAATGAAACAGAAATACCCAAAAGGGAAAGGCAAGAGCCACCAAAAATGACACGAAAAGACAGAGACACACAGAAGAGACACTGGGGTGGAAAGAAACAGAACCGAGCTCTGGAGCATCTACAGGGACCCTGGGCGGGAGAATGGCGAATGGGCAGTGGGGGGGTGTCTACACAGAGCCAAACCCTCCTAGAGGGAGAGTGCCGGCAGGGAACGCCCTTGGGAAGGTCCCTGAGTCCGAGAATGGGGAAAGGGGCGTGACAGGGGCGTGGCCCGTGGTGGGCGTGGCCGTGCGGGCGGGGTCAGCGGGCTGCGGACCCTCCGGGGTCAGTTCCCGGGGCGAACTCCTCACCCCGGATCTGTGGAGTCGACTATGAACGTTGTGCAGGTCTTCTTCCTGAAGATCTTGGGGATCCAGCTCTGGGCACAGGAACAAGTGTCGGGGTGGAAGTGGGGTGGGGGGCACCCCGTTCTGCCCTATGGGACACAGAGCCACCCACCCAGTGCACTCTCCACGGACACAGGAGTCCGGGCCCCCCCTCCGCGCCCTCCTGCTCCAGACTCAGGAGTCTCGACCCCCACGCCCCGGACCCTGGAACCCGGACCCTCCCATCCCCCTCCTGCGTCTGACCCAGGAATCGGGTATCCAGCGCCCTCCTCACTGAGAACCTGGAGGTGAGGCCCCCAGCTCCGCGCTCCCGCGGACCCCGGTCCGGGGCTCACCTGCTCCTTCTCCGGCAACACCATGCTGCCGCGGCCCCGCAACCTCCTGTAGCCCCGGGCCCCGGCGCTCCCTCCGCCGGCTCCGCTTCCAGACCCGCCCAGGACAAACCGGATCCGCCACTTTCCAGCCCAGCCTGGGCGGGGCGAGGTCTGAGGGGCGGGGAGTCTTGGAGACGCCAAAGCGGGAGGCGGAGAGAGGGCGGGCCCGAGGGGCCGCGATAAAGGGACAGAGGGACCGCGACCTGGGGGACGCAGAGGCCCGGGCCGGGGGCTGTGGGGGGCGAGAGACACGTAGGGGAGACTCCGAGAGACAGAGCGAGAGGGGGACAGAAGGAGTTGGGGGGTTGGTGGCGGAGAGGGAACAGCGATCAGAAAGGGGGATGCCAGGCAGGGAGGGGATATTTTAACCCAAAGAGAGTGAGACAGAGATTAGGGGCAGGGGTCAGGCGGTGGGGCAGCAGGGACCCAGAGATAGACACACAGAGAGAGAGGGGGACAGAGACCCAGGGAGAGAGAGGGGGACAGAGACCCAGAGAGAGAG